CTTTCCCTAATAAGCCATTAATGCTCCTGGTATTGTTTGGTATATGCTGTATAATTGGGCTTGCAATGAAATAATTTTGTAGGCTTCTTTACTTCGCTACATTAAATAGTTCAGTTGAAGAAACTGAAATTTTAGATCCCGTGTATCGTGCTGATTCCTTAGCCTGAATGATCAAATACACAGCTGAATTGAACAGAACAGCTCTCAGCAAGAGTGTAAGTAAGGCTCTCGTTTACCTCTGGGTCATTAGCGAGATGCCTTATTCACTCTACCATTGCACCTTTAACTACTTCGTTTGTAAAGGTTGTTTTCATCAGACATTATGAAATTATGGGTTTGGTCTGATTGTTCAGTCCAGCAGCCAGTCTAGACAAGGGGTCTGTCTCAATTAGACGAGACCAATTACCTTATGAGAGGAAATGGAAGAAGAATCCCAGTATTGTATTTCCTAATCCCCTCACTGTCTCCCAGTCCTGCCTCTCCTGCATTCCTCCCCGCTGCTCAGTTGCAGTGGTAGGTTGGACGGTGTTCAAGCACTACTCATGCCTCTTCTGGTGGTGTGTCTCCTCTACATCCTACTGAATTAACAGCTTTGAACGGCATCAGGCATATTTTCCCTTTCCTTCTTGGACCCCAAACACCCTACAGCCACTGTCCTTGCACTGCCTCTCCAGATAAATGTGACAAGACAGGAGGGTGCTGAGGACAGACCCATTGACGTGAATTTGACAGGCAGCTGAAAATGTCTCCTTGTTGTAGGAACTGAAGCCAGGAGTCCTATGTGGTACTTCAAAGCACTTTTATTGCAGATCTGTTCTTTTAGTCTTTTTTCCCCCCCTCTCCCTTTCTTTTTTTTTTTTTTTTTTTTTCTCTCTGGGTTATAAGAATGGATAATGGATGCTTGGGAATTAGCAACCTCTACAGGAAGCTGTGGGATGCTTGGGAGAGCCAGGGCCTGACATAGTCTCACGGAGGCTGTGAAACCAGGCGGTGCTCTGCTGACCTCTGAAAGCTGCTGGTGGATCTGCCCAGTGGTCTGCTGGCCAGTGCCAGTGCTGTGAAAACAGAGGGGAAAACAGTGTGGATCAGGTGACTCAAACCCACAGCAGACACTGCTTTTGAAGCAGTACAAATCCCCTACGGGATCACACAATTAAAGGGGATTAAAGTCCGAGTCTTGCTATTGCTGAAGTCACTGCCAAGACTTGTCTTGGCTGGCGAAGAAGAGGCTTGGCGTGGTTGGTGCTGTTAGCCACAGCTCTCCAAGGGATGCTCTTTTCTTTGAAAGCTTTGTCCGAAGTGAAAGCAGGAGGTTAATTCTGTGTGAATGCCTGGTAGTGTACATTAGTTTGTCTGGGTGAAGTCTGAAATATTTGATGGTGATCTATAAAGCCCTTGGTCCCTTGAGTACTGCTGGACTTGCAGACAGCCTCTTTGTGTGTGATACTGTGAGGGTCCTCTGAGCAGCTCCGGATTGCATGTCTTAGAAGAAAGAAGAATGGGACAATAACATAGCATTGTCAGCATAAAAAAAAAAAAAATTACTTAATTTTTAATTTAGTTTTGTCCTTGGTGTGCTCTGAGCCACTTCAGTAGCCTGGGAATTTGGCTTACCTGATATCCCACAGGTTTGAGAAGATACAAGGCGTTGCTGTTTGATGATTAAATTCTGCTTTGTATCAGCTAGGATTGCTGGAAGAAATTGAATTTATGTTCACAGATTGATTTTTCTTTTCTCTTAAGTAGCTTAATTATTCAATATCCTGGGCTTTTGTCTTCTGCCTAGAGAGTTTAGGAGACACCTCAATGAAATAGAAAGGCTCAGTCATTTATAATCTGATGTACATTAAGGATGAATTGAATTAATGTGTTGTGAAGTCTAATCCTATGTGGCCATCTTTGGGCATACTTAACTGTCATTTGTACTCTTCAGTGCTCTTGAAATGCAGAGATATAGAAACAAATAATTAAAATCACCCTTTATTAAGTAATTGTTTAAATCATAGAGGTGTTTTGATTTTTTTAAACTAGTTTCAGATGTTATGTCTACAATAGACATTAAATCCACAATGATTTGATTCCTGAACACTAGTGGGATTTTAAATATCACTCTAGGGAGGAGAGAATGTTAACAGCACTTCTGTAGGCAAATTCCCTTCTGTAACAGCAGCAGAATTCTGAAAATCAAGTCTCTATACCTGCAAAGACTTCACTTTACTCCTCTGAGCAATCAATTTACCTTCAGAAGGAATTACTATGGGTTTCAGGTTAGGCATGCTTTTGGGAAACTAGTGAAAGGAACAAGTAAAAGCATATCAAATTGATGCTTACAACAACTGAGTTGTTGATTGCCCACTGAAAATATCAGGAATAGTTTTTAAATAATTTCTTTTCTTTATCTTCCTCTACGCCCTTGTTCTGTGACCCAGGAATTAATCACACTGTATTTGGGAACTACAAGGAAGGATCTATTCTGATATCTCCTGCATCATTAGCCTTGTTAAAAAAAAAAAAAAGCCAAGAGAGAGCATATGCTGCTTTCATTTACAAGGGGCTGAACTGTGTCTGCTGCAAACATTATTCAGCAGTCCCTGGAGAAATTTAAGAGTCAGCCAGAATCCCTTCGGAGTCTCCCGTTGCAACACAGTCTATCAGCACTTTCCCGAATAGAAGCCAGTGCCTTTTAAGTACAATCCAGCTTTTAATTTGAGTGGAAATGAACAATGCGTCTTTTTTCTGAATTTTTTTTTTTTTTTTTAGATTTGTTTGTCACTATAGAGTGAACAGGATATCTTAAAACAATGAGTAAAAATCCAGATACAAACCAGAGACACAGACTGTAAACATCAATGCTGAGACGACAGCTGCGGGATCAACACACCTTCACTTCATGCGTTAGCAGAATAGTTTGTCTAAGTGAGTTTTTCCCTGCAGCCACACCAGGATAACGAATATGTGTTTATTCTCAGGAAACGGTATTCCGGCTGGATACTCAGAACTTGGAGTCTGGCAGGTTGAAATGCCCTTTTGATCCTCAGCAGCCATTTGCTTCAGTGATGGCAGGTAAGAAACCATCAGAGCCAGGCGCGCCCCTCAGGTGTGCGACGGCTTCGTAATGCGGGCTCTGGGGTGGAGGCTCGGCAGATGCCATCGCTGGAGCTCCTCTGGCCTTAGCCGTGTGGCCCATGCTGGTTTGTGCCCTCGGAACCGAGGGAGCCTTCAGTCTGCAGACACCAGAGAGCTGGAAATGCAGCAACACAAACAGAGACATCTGAGCGGCTGTGAGGCCTCTGCCAGTTGAGCAGGAAGGCGGTTTCATCCTCACCCCGTCATTTCTCCTTTAAGACAACAAAAGAAACACACGGACAGACAATGTTTGAAGCGCTTCTGGGCCTCTTTCTGCAATTATCAATATGTACTGCCCTTTGAAGTCTGCTGACATCCACGATTTCCATAAATACATTTTTGAGGTTTCTATTTACTCGAGTAGCCACTTCTGAAGCTGGAAGCCTAGGAACAAGATAGCGCAATCTGCCTGCTGCGTGCATCGCAGCGCTGTGTGGTCTGACATTTGGTGCCGAGGAATGTCAGCTTGACCTCCGGATTTCAAATCACTATAAGAGCTACTTTTGTCATGGTTTGGTTCATAGCTTTGGACAATTTTCATTTAACTTGTCCGTCAAGCATATGAATACCAGATAAGAGTGAAGCACCATGACGTTTTCTTTTACAGCCAAAGAGCAGTGGTGACAATGCTTTGAAGTATCGGTCACTCTGTGTTATAAAAAGAATATGACTAATGTTCAGTCTTTATTCTCAGATAATAAGATAGATGATTTGTGATTCTGACCCAACAGATGGGGCAGGACTTCCTTTATTAAAAACAATAGATTAAAGCCAGTACTTATTCTTCTCAGAGATCCCTAGTACTGTTAAATGACCGTGAAGTCTATTTTTAAAATGGGATTCTAGAAACTAACTTTTTTTTTTTTTTTAAAATGCAATAGAACTCCATGATTTATTATAGTATTGGCTAATTTCAGTAGCACTCCAGTGCATTGACTGCTCTATCAAATATTGTGAAATGAAGAAGCTGCCATGTTTTAGCTAACTAAAACATGAACTTTGGTACGTAAGCATTTTCAGGCTAGATAAAATTAATGGTCATGGTATTCTAGTATCCCTTCGCTGACCATGCCTGGTGTCAAGTGCTTTGCAGTAATGTACAAGGAGCATTGTAAAGAGTTACAGGACCGACCAGAGAATGCGTTCTTGGCCTATCTTTTGATGATTACTTTATTCCCAAAAGTACTAGAAGAGCAATATAGCTCATGGATAAGATAGTGCCCTGGGCCTCAGGGAGCTGAGTTCCTGTCTCTGCCACTGACGAGGGGAGTAACCTTTGGCATGTCACTTCTCGCTGCCTAATTTTATGTATCTGCAAAATGTCGATAAAGATTACTTCTATCCTTCAGAAAGCACTTTGTAATCAGTAATACACGTATGAGCTAAATAATATTTAATTCTATTTTCACTCATGTATGTAGATTAACACAGCTGAGTAATTTTCATTCTTCGTAGAAATGCATAATCTCTCTTTGAATTCTACCCAGCATTTCACCCCGAGTAAATCCCACAGATAAATTTGAAAAGCTACTCTTTTTGAGTAACAAATCACCTGCTTGTCATCCATCTTCTATTACAAATTACTGCTCACCAAAATTGTTCTGGACGTAACTAGAACTTGGAATGAGAGATACCAAAAGCCGAGAGAAGCGCTGAAAACGCCTTGTCAGCAGAGCCTAAGCAAGGGTGGAGAATTGCTGTTAGCCCTTCAGATATATCGATCGCTGAGTGCCTGTCAGTTAGCGAGCACCAATTACCCTGCCCATTCCTCATTGTGACAAATACCTTTCAGAATGCACTATTGTTTCTTTACAAAGGCGACATGCTGTCTGAAAGATTTGCTTTCCAATACTGTCATGGAAATAAAACATAAGTAACAATAATAATGAGGTGAAAAGAAAGCTGATAGATCTTTTTTTTGGCCAGAAAAAATGCGTGTGGATCATGGGTTGTGTGTTTTGTTTTGACGGTTTTTTCCCCCTTGATCTTATTTTTTAAGTGCATTTACATCTTTTGCAAATGAAAACACAAACATCTATGTTGAATGGTATTTATTCTGCATTCACTCTCAACAAAGGACTTCTCTCTAAAAGATCTTGTGAAATGTTTCCACACAGAGTATCAGAAAACCTGGAGAAGGAACTCCTGGAAGGGTATTTTCGTATAGCTTTTTATAAGATTATTGTTTATGAACATGAACCTTTTTTTTTTTTTTTTTACAAACTCTAGGGATTTATTGTTGTGAGTCATTAAACAAAACCCAAACTCATTCAACCAATAAAGCTATCTTATTTTGCAGAAAAAAGAAAATGCACTACGCAGTAAAAAAAAAAATCCACAAAAAACCCCAAACAAACAAACAAACAAAAAAACCCCCATGGTGATACTATTTCTTTGCTTCTTTTTAGAAAAGTACTGAGATGTGAAGAAAACTAGAAAATATTGTGCAGGTCTTAAGGTTGTGAAGTTTTGCGTTGCACACAAAGCTGGCAGAAGCCTAAATGGTAACTGCACTTGCAGCAAGCACGCTGTATTGTATTAGAGGTACCATTTCCTTGTGAGACAAATTCTGGCTGCCTTATTCAAGCAAGATGTCTCATTTATTTCAGTGGGACCACTCGCTATGTTAAAATGATCACGATTTGGGTCTGCAGCCATATTCCTACCATTAACACGTTACACCGTTGAGCAGAATTCCCATAGTACCTAAATTCCTCTTCGTGAATGAAGTGTTGGATGGAGATCCGTACAGCAGGAAAGGTCCAAGCTGCAAAGTTCCCGTCGTGAAGCATCCATCACGTTTACTAGCTCAAGCCCAGGAGCAGCAAAGCCGTCGGGGCCGTAGCAAATCTGGGACACGAAAGCTAGCTTGAATGGATAGATGGCCATGTCCTCGCCACAGCCCCCAGGTCCATGGTCGTTGCTCACGGGGCAGGATGCTTAGATCAAATACATCTTTATACCCTTAAGACACCAGCACTCATTAAAACCTGGGGAATTTACTTTTTGGAGTGCCTAAAAGATTTGAAAATTAGATTTGGACTCCACTTCTTGGGCATATAATTACAAATATTACCTCTATTTAAATGTAAGTAACTTCACAGAACCCCAAATCCCATTAAAATATAACCCAATAATATTTTAAAACATTAAATTAGTTCATAGGCCAATTAAGCACAGGTGGTGTTCACCCAGCAAAACACAAATAGTTTTCATTTTGTTTACCCCACAGCTGTAGAAACCCTATTTCTTTTTCATTCGCAGATGAGTATCTTTATGCTGGAACAGCTTCTGATTTCCTTGGCAAAGACACTGCTCTAACACGTTCTCTGGGCCCTTCTCACGACCACCATTACATCAGAACTGACATTTCTGAACATTACTGGCTTACTGGTAAGATCCCAAACATATGCTGTTGTCATTTGCATTGTCCCTGACTCTCTGAAGTTAATAGCCCCTTTCTTATATAAATATATGTCCAGTAACTATAAATAAAGATATTCTATCATGGTATCTTTGGATTATGTAGGCTTTTTAAAAAAAGCTCAGTGGAACAAAAATGCACTTGAGAAAAGTCAGAGAGGTGAAAATGCTAATTAAGGAAAGAGTAGGAGCATAAGACCTAATCATTCTTACCGTCTTTGATCTATACATCTGTATATAGTCCTGTAATTGGAATAATATCATGACTTTAATACTTCTATTTCCAGTCTTGTTGGAATAAATTTTTTTAAACCCTTTTTTCCGATCACTTGTTAAAAGCTGTTCCTTACAGCATGTTGAAATGACAGACTAGAAATTCCATGTTTTTACGTAGGAGGTATTTTATTTTTTTTAATTTTCCTTTTTTGAAGGGGAAAAATACCCTTTGTTGCTGTGAGGATCATTTTAAAACCACTAAGGGCACCCTAAAATAGCTTCCCAAGCAAAACACTGCTTTTTCTTGCCCGTTAAAAAACATTCTGAGCTAGTAAACCCTCTGAAAAAATGGCTGCATTTACACCCAGCCAGTCCCAAACCACACACAGAGTAACATGGAAAACTTCGCTCACAAACTAACCCTGCTCAATTAAAGCATCCCCCTTTTAGCCGTCAACTGTCTTTAAAGATGTGGCAACGCTGGCCCTGTTTCAGGATGCCTGTGTAACTATTATGGGCGTGTTGTAAAGCCAGGGCCTGCTGACCACAGGGTTAAGTTGTCTTCCCAGCAGACAGCTTCTGAAAGGGATAATTTTGCCTCTTAACTCTTTGAGACCTCAACAAGGGGAAATGTTCTTTTTTTTTTTTTTTTTACTCCTCTCCCTTCTTCTAAGCTGTTGCCTCAGGATTTCTCCTGGGAGATGGGGATGAAAGGAGAAGCCACAAAGTCATTTTGTCTTTCCAAATAAGAGCAGTCCTTGGGAAAGATAGAAAAATCTCATATTTGACTCTGCTGACCTATCCCACTTTCATCTTCTGTGCTCAAAACTTTGCTTTTCTCGCCTCTCCTCTCTTTTTCATCTCATTTCTACACATCCCTTGTACAATGCAGACCAGAAATGGGCTGTAAGCAATATGGACCATGATGGGTCCTTCCGGCAGGCAGCTCTCTAACTGTGCAACTGAATATCAAATTTTATCACTGGCGGCCTGCTGGTGCTCAGCATGGAAAGATGGTTGGAGTAGCCATTTTCCTTAGGGATGCTATAATACTCTAAAAAGAAAGATTTACTGCATTTTGGTCCTGAGGAGCATCTGGTGTTATCATTAGTATAGATCCACCTTGATGAGCATTACAGGGTTCAGTTCCCAGCCCAAAAGAACTTATAGCTTAAATATCCAGTTCCAAACATTTCTTTATGCTATTAATGTTTCTTCATGAGTAGTTTGAGGCAAGGGAACAGTACAAAAACAGAGGATAAACTCAAGGTTTGAGGACCGTTTATGTGTTTTAGTTTGGAGGCTGGGTCGGGGGGTGTCTGCCTTCTTTCTTTTACATTCATTCATTTTTTTATTCTGTTTTCACTTAAAGCATCTGTATTTATGAAAGTTTTCTAAGGAGAATAATATATTAATATGTCTGGGTTTGAAAAACAGTTTTAGTGTACTAGACTGTGACGTGAAAATTACCCCACACTATATAAACACTGAAGACCCTATATATTCTTCAGGTTTACTTTGTTTCCAGCTATGTAGAAAACTACAGCCACGCTCTGTCTAAGACTTCACGTACACAATCCATGCAGTGTTATATTATACCAAGAGGCATAGATATAAACTCGGTGCTTTTAATATTTTGAATAGGTCCTTTTAAGGTTGGAGAAATTTTTTGAGTGCACCTCTAACTGATGGAATCATTTCTGCAATAAGCCATAGGGTAGCCAATATATTTCTGGTTTATTGTGTAACATTACCAATTGCATACATTTGTGCTTTCAGCTGATATTGGCATAAAGAAAATATTTACTTGATTTCAGGTTTAAGACTCCCATCTCATCTAAATCCCCTTTTCCCTAAATCTACCACCCATTCACCAAGCGTGTGTTAGACCTCCAGGAAAGGTTGTACATACTTGAGTAATTGTACAATTAGAAATAAATTATTTCCAGGCATGACTCATGTTTTACTTAGGATAAGCATAAAATGTATAACTTGTTTTTTTCCAGACGGCTGAGGAAATTTTGCTATAATGCACCTTAATATTTTTAAAGTTTAGTCTTATTCTGTTTCTGGAAACAGGATTATCCTTTTCTGGGGGAAGGGAGGAAAAGAAAAAGCATAAGGGAAAAATGCGTAGGATACCTCCCAGTTCCTTGCAGGGCATTTCTATCTTGACTAATTAAGACATGTCTTAATCTCAATGACTGAATAGCAGCTCCACAAAGGAGAAAGGGAGGAAGGCAGCTAATCTTTCCCATGACTCACGCTCACACAGGCTCGTACTCCTGCACGCGGTGGCACTGAAGACAGAGGGGATGCTGCCCCTGCTCAGACATCAGCCCTTCTCCCACAGAGCTGAAGAATCAGGCGCTCCCGCAGCCGCTGACCGGAGCTGCCTCCCCCGTGGCCGGGGCAGGGGACGAGGCGTGTGGGGCTGGTGGCCCTGCTCCGGATGGCAAAGCCGCCCACTGGAACTGAGTCTGCCCCGGTCCAGCCCAGCGGGCAGAGGAGGGCGTCCCGTGGCGGGATACCCGAGCGCTACACCCAGGCGCGCACTGAACAGCTGCACATTCCTCCCTCCTTCTCAGGAAGCTAAAGCCATAGTTGGAATGAGTGCTGCCCTGAATTGCATTCATCTTCTTTTCTTTTTTTTTTTTTTTTCATTGCAATTTAGTCGCCTCTGCCAGGGCAAAGACTTACAGGCAATGACTTCTTTATATTCTGTGAACTTTGGATGGGATTCAGCTCACTTAGCTCTAAAAGGCAAAAGTTAGCATCCTGTCTGAGCTCAGTCATTTTACTTGTCTCTGTAATTTACAGAGAGAGGTGACACTTCCAGAGGGTGACTCACCCCACCTATTGTAGGAATCTGTCTTAAAATAGGATTATTTATTGTCACTTTCTTTCTTGTGTCCTTCCCTGAGAGAGGACCTGGATGAGTATGGGTTAGGAGCTTGACTTCTAGACAGTTAAAGGTAAATGAGGTGAGCGTCCTTTGCATTTTATCATGCCACATATTTCTGGCAGCCCAACTACAAAGAGCTGCTGCCTCCCACTGTTTTGGGTTGCTTTTTCATTTCTTCATGTTCTGCTGCTCATTTGCTGTCCTTTTTTTCTGAGCCTGATGAGTCTTATTTCCCTGTGGGTCTTACTAAGGCACGCGCGTTTGCACTGTCTAAAACTGCTGCTGGCGTTAGAAGGGTGTGATAGCCAGCAGGTAACCAACAGCAAACACGACCACTCCACCGAACCCAGCAGTGAAGGACTAAGTGTAAAAGTTCTTCCCACTAGGCCACAAGACCGTATTTAAAAAAAGCACAGACAACACCTGAGTTTTCTGTACCATCTATTGTCAGAGCTCGTGATGCCTTTATTCCCCTCTTTGGTTACACACAATCTAGCCATGAAATTAATATGTGGGAAAATCTTCTACTGAAGCAATTAGGGGGCAACAACTGTGTGTATAGGAAAACAAACAGTGGTTTAAAATCATCATCATATAATTTGTTTCCCATGTAAAGAATCCAAAAACCTAATTCACAATTGGTTTAAACTCACTTTTGTATGTTGTATGGTTGGATTACAAAAGATGAGACAAAGATCTCACTTGCAGAACATAATGTGCTTTTCAGGTCATGATCTCTTTCATTAAATTGTTTTCAGTCTCTTTGTCTTCATAACTTTTACAGTGTATTTTTGTTTGGATTTAACTTTCAACTTCAGTGTTTTCAATTGTGATTTAAAATCATTAAATATTTATGTTCCTTTAATTTGTTAGAGATTCTTCTAAATCTGTTCCAGGAATTGGTATTGAGACATTTGTTTTTGCATTTGGCTTGCCAAGTAAAGCAATGAAATTTAAATTTTTTTTTTTTTAAAGTATATTCAGAGTTTTGTTCTGTGAATGTGAATTAAAAAAAAAAATCTATGTGAGATTCAAAAGCATGTTATAGAAATATTTCACAGGTTTTCCTATTAAATGGCTATTTAGTTAACCGCATATGTAAGAAACCATACCGGAAGCATATTTATGTATTTATTCACGCTTAGACATCTAATCTTCAAAGTAGTCTTCCAGGCCCTGAGGGGTAATTGAATATTTTCTGTAGGTTCATTTTGAAATCTTAAATTTATAGAGCTTGATGCCTGCATCATTTCATTTTTCTGCTGACGCCATTCTCTAGTGTCAGAAAGGTTTAAAATGGAAGCAGCACTGTGGCTATTTTGACCCATAAATTTACTCTTCTGTCACAAAGGTGCACATTCAGCACCTAAACATAGCCCGTTTTGTCGCAAGCCTTTGCTGCGAACTTTTGAATCAAGGACCCTCTTTTTGTCCTGTGTGCACTGTACAGTTCATGGTGAAAATTCCTCAAGGCTAATATAAAGTAACAATCATAAAGAGGAGAAAGGCACAAAGATACATTAAAAGCTGATAATAGTGTTCCCCACGTATCGCCAGCGTGCTCTGTTTGCTCTACCATTTTACGCCATTCTTACTGCTTCCTAATGCAGCCTACTTGCTTATGGGGGACAAAGACTGTGTATTTTATTGCTGAAAGAATGTATTTTAGAGTCAAGGGTCTCTTTGCACTGTATTTGTATAGCCACTTCTGTTTAAAGAAAAACATCATCGATCCGAGTGCCCTCAGAAGAGCTCATCTATTGTAGCACATTGGGGAATGTCTTAAAAACCACTTCCCCAGGTATCTGGTTCACTTGTGCAAGATAGTGTTGTTGCCTGCTCTGCTGAAGTCAGGGACCCCTGGAATTAGTTTAGTTTCTGATCACAGTGCAAAATTTAAAGAAAAAAAAAAAAACAACCAAAAAAAACCCCCTAAAACAAAACCAAGAGCATCACTGGTGAGCAGGTAGAGCAGGACTGGAGATCATGGACGAGGGAGCTGAGGAAGACCAGGAAGGAAGGACGTGTGTTAAATTCTTGCCCCAATAAGCATGCATATAAGATGCAGGCAGAGACAGCCAAGTTTGCTTTGGAAGAGACCAGAAGCAATATAATGGCTTAGCGTGGCAAGGCATGCTGTAACATTTCTTGTTACGTTGATATAGCTGATCTGTTTTCATGCACAACAAGGAACTGTGTCCTTAAGACTGACCAGTCGGTTGTGGAGTTTGGTGTGCTAACTTGGGAATCCTAGCATGGCACTGTGTTGGAGTTGGTAGATATAGTCAGTAAGATTGTTACGACACAGATATGTAGGAAACTTTTAACTTGGGAAAACCATCAGTTATACTGAATTTTTAATCCCATGGATCAATAAAAGTTCTTTCGTTCCTTTGCAAGTTATCTCTAGTAAACAGCAGTGTATTTCTGTATTCATAACTGCTGCAAGTGTAATTAAATTAATTTAAATTCTACCATGTGATTTCAGGAAATCTACTTAGCTTGGTATCAGTGGCAAGAGCAGTAAGGCAGATTTTTGTAGGCAATATTTTGTACTGAGAGTTATCCTATTTTCAAACAGAGAATGATAGCCAGTACTGCATATTTTTGCAAATGGTAGTAAGATATAGACACAAAAATTTCACACTAAGAGTAAATATTTCAGAATCTATGGTGGTTTTAGCTCAGAGTTAGTAAGAAACTTGCCACTACATGTCTATATAGTGATATTTTTATTTCACTGGAAGATGCAACATAAATGCAGATATTGAAGCAGAAATTTAGTAACAAGTATTAAGACTTTTCTTCGGATTTTTAAAACTTTTTTTTTTTGGGGGGGGAACTTCTAGGAGCAAAATTCATTGGAACTTTTCCCATCCCGGACACCTATAACCCAGATGATGACAAAATCTACTTCTTTTTCCGAGAAATATCACAAGATAGTGGCACATCTGACAAGACAATCCTTTCCCGAGTTGGGAGAGTTTGTAAGGTGAGGATTCTATCTTTCTATTTTATTTAAAGAAAAAAAAAAAAGAAGAAAAAAAATGTTTGGTTTGTTTCTGTGATAATCTGTTTTCTTCTTCAGATCAGAAGGAAATAGTGTTGTTATCCAATGGGTCATCACAGTAATTTTTCTGAACACAGACTACTAATGCCCCCTGAAATGTACTCATCTGAAAAATAGACTTGATACTGACTGCGTACCTCTTTTAAAAAAGCTAATATGCTTATAAATTACAGTCCTGTGTCTAAACGATAATGTGTTGACCTTCAGATATGCGTCAGTGACCTGCTTTGTTTCATAAGCTTTCAGCGAGGATTGACTTGTCGAAGTGTACACAGTAGCAAGGTATTTGGGTTTTTGTGGAAAGTGCCCACTGAATGGAGGGATACACAAACCCATCCCTTCAGCCCAGCTCAGTACATCAGTCCTGGGCGTTACTGAGCGCTGGGGTCAGTCATTTGTTTCTGCACATTCCTGATAATCACTTGGGGTGAGAGGAGGATAAAAATGTATATAGTTTCAGAGCTACACCCACATCTGCCCAGAGATTTCCTTCCCTGGGAAGAAGTGCAGTCCTTGACCTGTTGACCAGGAGGAACCAGGCCACGGGTCCACCGCAGTGTAACAAGTTTCATTTGTTGGTGCCTGACCTCCTTTGAATGGTTACTCCCTTCACTTGCTGTTTCATTATGCTTGGGTTTGCCCCTTTTGAGAGATTTCTGCCCCTATAGTATTCATAATGCAGACTCAGCTTTTCATGAGCTTCAGTCTTTTTGAAGAAGCTTCTCTGTGAAGAGAAGAAACCTCCTCAAATTGTAACGAGAAGATAAGCCAATTCCTGCATATGAAGACAGCAGTCAGTGTAGAGTTTGCTGTTTAAGAGCCTGATGTTTTCGCTAAGGTCATCTTCCCACCACAGCAGAAGGACCTATTCACGTCTGTGTGAGACATTGTCTCTATCCACCCCTTTGTTCCATAATACTGTAGGAAGAGAAGCAGTCAGGGTTAGTGCTCCCATCCTGTCCTTAGGTCTGCAGTGAATCCAGGTACCCAGGAATCACCGGTAAAAGTCAGAAAAATGGGACTTTAAAGTTGTCGTCGTATTTATTAGTAAATATAAGCTTTGAGCAAATGTTTATCTCATGATGAACTAGATATCGGCAACATCACCACAGCAATCACACAAATAGGTATATTTCTGTGATATTTTGTTCAGAAGCTTTCAGTTGCTTGCCTTTTCTGAGCAATGTGACTCTGCTAGCAGTGAAAATTTTCTTCTTAAGAAGCTTGAAAATTAGTAAACAAAAAAAGCATTTGTGATTTGCAGTAAGATGTGTCTAGGAGAAGAGCACCCATTCAGCTAATGGCCATACACTAAAAAACAAAGAGTGGACATATGTGTATGACTATGTAAATCTACAACTGCTTTGCAGTCCAGCAGACTCCAAACTCCAATAGAGATTTTGGTGACCACAGCCATTTCACACTTCTGTCCTTGACCTAAAATGTTAAGAAAACAAAAAACTCATTCATAAATCAGTTCTCTAGTAGGGTTTTAGCCCGACGAAGGAATGGATAATCTTTAGTTGGGTATTTCACAGCAGCGTGATTAATAGCAGAATGGAAACGCAAACATATGTGATTTGCTGCTAGACATGGCATTTGCTGATTATGAGAAAGCACTTAATGCATTAGGAGAAATTGGTAGACAACATTTTCAAGCCGAGGCATATGAGAGATTATAGTGAACTAAGATGTATTAGCTAGAGATCTCCAGTATCCTTTACCTAAAGAAAAGAAGAGATAAGATATCATAATAAAAGCAAATGCATTGTAAGGAAATCCTAATGACCATGCGTAACTGTACCTCAAATGAGACTAAATTTGTAAAGTAATCATGTTAACAGGAAAAAATGTCTTGAATTTTATTTTTAATAGTCAAAGCAAAATAATGGAAACTGATAAGTAAGGTGATTATATTAATGTTAGTTTTGCACTGTCTTCTTCACTTACTGAGCACTTCCTGATGGATACAGAATTCTCCTGAAAATTCAGACTCCTCTTTTTCTGTACATTTGTCTTGACTACCTGCAAATAAAAAAAAAATATCATGCAAATTATTATAATTAAAATAGAATTATTATAGTATTTAATATAAATTAAAA